CTAGACAGTCGCTTCCCATCTTGTATGTATGGAACTGATTGTTCCTTCCTAAGTGGAGCATTTTGCATTTCTCTTTATTAAACCTCATCCTCATCCAATTTGCATAATTGATTAGCAGATGTTTTTGCACAAGAGGCTTTTGCGCAAAAAGGAGATGTGTAGACAACTCCTTTTTGTGCAATAACCTCCTCTTACACAAGAGCCGTTCTTCCTCATTTTTTCAGAAAGAACGGCTCTTGCGCAAGAGGGATTTGCGCAAAAAGGAGTCGTCTACACATCTCCTTGTGCAAAAATGCAAATGAAGTGCAGTGATATTCCACTCCGCGCTTCATTTGCATAAGCTTTTCCAGAAGAAGTCTACAGTGTAGACATATCTTTAGGGAGCCCTGCAAAACAATCTGAACTTTTGGCAAGCTGGAAATCTTTTTTCAGGGCCCCCTTAACCCAAGTTCCGGTGCTACAGCTCCTAAAGCCCCTTTTAAATCTTCTATTAACATATTCCACTTTTTGTGGCTGTGCATTTGATTTTTTTCCTTCTGAAGAATAGTATTTTGCACTCAACTTTATGGGATTTCATCTTGCTGATTTCTCACCAATACTCCCAATTTGTCTAGGCTGTTTTGAATTCCAAACCTGTCTTCCAAAGTGTTTGAAGCTCTTCTCAGGTTGGTGTTATCTGCAGATTTTGTAAGCATACTCCCAAATTGGTTATCCAAGTAATTAACAAACATATTGACTAGTACCAGCTATATGTGTCAAAAACCTTACTAAAACAAAGGTATTGCATCTCTGCTGTGTGCATCCCACATCCAGTAGGTTATCCTGTGCCTCATACTGACTGGGAAATTGTCCATATGAAAAAACAGGTTAATACATTCTTAAATAACTTGGTTTTGGAATCAAATCAGTTGTAGAGAGATTATGAATTTTGATTGTGCAACTTATTTCGCGCTCTGGTGCGGTGTAGACACACCCTTATTTGATATGTACTGATGAAGTAAGGTTGTTGCATTTGTTACAATTTGAGCTACGCAAATTGTGTACCTTATTTCGAGTCAATTTTGAAATATCTTATTTTGAAATTTGACACGGTCTAAACTTATTTCAAAATAAATCTGTATTCCGAAATGTCCCTTACTCCTCGTGGAATGAGGTTTACAGGGACGTCAGAATAGTAAGTCAGTTATATTTCAAAATAACAAGCACACGCAAAAGACGCAGAATAGCTATTTCGGGATACCTGAGCATAGAGTAAGACAGTAAATGAGCAAATAGTTACCCACAAGCCCCATTAACAGTATGGAATGCATCACTGATTGAAACTGTCTTTGGTAGTTACCACAACCTCTAGTTTCAGGGTCCCATTTCCTGCCCTCTCCCCATTGCGGGGAGATGGCCACCATCTCATCTTGTCTCTTAATTTGTCACTGAATGTGTTTCAGTTAGGCATTATCTTTTTTCTGTTCAATTAATTTCACTTCAGGGACTTTGGATACACTTTCTCAATGTTTTAGCTACCTGGATTAAATGAATGGATTAGCCAACTTTCACAGCCATGGATGATAGTGTCCTACTACCAATCAGGTTAATAGAATTTAAAAAAAAAGAAATTTAGTGTGTGAGAGAGAGACAGAAAGAGAGAGAGAGAAAAAAAACTCAAAAATTTAGAAAATAAAATTGGTGGGGATAATCTGCTCTTAACTGGCATTCTGGAAGGTAGACAGAGTTAAACCCGTGGCCTTTTTTGAATGTTGGATATCCCAAAATGGGCCTGAATATAGTTAATGGTAATAATGTGGTTGATAGAGCGTTCAGTGACCACCTTTGAAGTTGCCTCTTCTAAGACTGAGGAAATACAACTTGCAGAAAGATGAGGGAGAGTAAGATTGACAATGGCATGGTTTTGGGTTTTCCATGATTCATGGCTGGCGTAATAGCCAAGTGTAGGAAATTTAATTACGTTTGCAGAAAAGTATGAACTCATTATTGACTATACTTCTGCTTTGAAAGTATTGGGACTCACCACTATTGCACCTTCATTTCTGTATTTGCATGAGAAGCAGGCCAATATCTGCTGGAGGATTATTCAAATAGTTCTGGTTACTGTTTTTTGTTTTTGTTCTTGTTTTCAGCATATTATGTTCTGTTAGATTACATTGCTTACTGGTTGCTAGCAACCTCCTGTTATGGATCTATTGGCACTGCTTTTCCATTTTTTCTCTCTGTGGCTACGTCTAAACTATGGGCTTTTTCTGGGATACCGGAAGGTATCCCGGAAAAACTGCTCTGTGTCCAGGGAATGCGTCTGCTCTTCTGCTTTTTTTTGAGGAAGAGCAGACGCGCTCTTTTAGAAGCTTTGCCTTCCTCCTTCCACGAGGAAGAAGGGCTTTTCCGAAAGAGGAGGATTTTCTAAAATTTGGCTCAGTGTAGATGGGCCAAATTTCAGAAAAGCCTCTTTTGAAAATTTTTCAGAAGAGGCTATCGGAAAAAGGTACACAACTTGCAGAGTGCAATTTGCGTACCTTTTTCTAATAGATCATTGTAGTCTAGACATAGCCTGTTACATACAATTATTCCCATTCCTCTTTCTTTCCCATGTTATTACTCTGTCAATCTTCCTCTTTCTCATTTGTTTAACCTGTGATGATGTTCTATTTTTCGTTTTGGGACTTCATACCATGCCATTATAGTGCTATTCTTCTATTCAAGTAAAGCTTTATGAAGCGTATGTTACATCCTTACCCTAAGATCTGCATAGGCTTTCACATAGTTTTAGTGTGGATTTTAAGGTGGTGTTAAGTTGTGACTACTGATGTGCTTGAAGTTAGGTCTGTGCCTAAAAAACATGCTGGATCAGGGCCTTAGACCTCTTACCCAATACCTTGCATTTTCTGCTGAAACTAATTCAAAACCAATGTAGAAGTATCTTGCTGAACTGAGGCTTAAATGACTTGGGTTTGGCTACCTGAAGGAACTTCTCTTTGATGGATACCATCACGGTTGCAATCAGTGGAACTTCTTGAAAGATCATCTCTTGGTTTAAAAGGGAGAGGGGACTGCAACGGTAATTTTAATGAGAGGGCTGCCACTTGGACCAACAGATCTGGAATTTGTCAAAGCATGCTGTGGAGCATCTCTGTTCTTTTAATATTTTTTCTGGGGGAGAGAGGTTGTGCAATTTTGGGAGTCATTGGTGGGATTAAATGGTATCAGTGGCAGACTCTTTTGTATTAATCACATTTATCTTGTGTGTTCTGTATTAGTATAGGTGCATAGTTAGCTTATGCACTTTTACTAATACGTGTAAAAAAACATAATAAAATTGGAGGCTGTGTTGAGCCCTCTCTAAAAGTTTGGCCTAATAATGTTGAATGTAAAAAATAAAATAAAAATTCTTCTCCTTCTCCCACTCAAAATAGTTCTCCACCAGGTGTGGTGATATAGTTTTCTCCCACACAGCAATGTTAAGCCTAAAAATAGTAAAAGTATTCTGTATTTTCAATCAAAAAGATTTCTTGACATAAGCTTTCTCTTATAGTATATGTTATTTTCAAGAGAAAAAAAAACACTTGGTA